TCTTCAGCAGCACTCAGACACTTCAGGTTCTGGTCCATCAGTCTGATCTGCTCATCCATCTCCCAGCAACGGGACTCTGCCAGCTCAGCTTGTTCCTCTGTGCGTTCCAAATCTCCTTCAATAATCAACTTACGAGCCACCTCTTCATACTTCCTGTCTGCCTCTTCGGCAATGTGTTTAGCTTCTTTCAGCTGGATTTCCTGGAGCTCCATCTTTTCTTCATCTTTTAGGGCCCGGTTTTCAATGACCTTCATACCTCTCTCACTCTCATCAGCAGCTTTCTCAGCTTCCTCTAGCTTTTGCAGGGCAGTGGCCAGGCGCTCCTGTGCACGGTCTAGCTCCTCTTCAACCAGCTGGATCCTACGGTTCAAGGAGGCTACTTCTGCTTCAGCCTGTTCCCGAGCCCGCCTTTCTCCCTCCACTTCCCACTGGAGGCGTTCGGCCCTCTCCTCTGCATCATCGGCCTGCTGCTGAAGAACCTGGATCTTGCGCTTCACCGCCTCGATGGTGGTGATCCCGGCCATAGCACCCACCCAGCAACCTCTCAGTCTTGGTCCCTGCCTCCGCGGTTAGGCGCTGCAGCCGCTTCTCGCTGCAATAGGTTGTTAATGCCCCAGTAAGGAAGCAATTTTTCAAACTATTGGCACTATTATGCCACAATAGTTAAGACATTATTCTTCTCACTTAATTCTATACTGTCTAGTTATTTTCTGAGCTCCCAATGTGCTATGTACAAAAGATGCTTGTGATAGGTATAACTCTGCTTTGTCGTACGTGTGCTCCTCTCTCATAATCAATGAACTCATGGGAAGGACTCAAGTCTTCATCTTCTGCTCCAGAGTGTTATGTTATGCTCTGTATTGAGTATGCACATGAGATACATGTGATCAAAGTCTAAAGAATATTAGACAACTTTCAAGTGTAACACTTCAAATTTTAAAGTAATTAAGTAGATGTGATCTACAATAACAGATTAAAAAGATGAAGCTAGTAAACTGAACTGAGTTTTATAAATGTGGATTTTAGGAATCCTGTAAAGCATTCATTATTACAGGATTTGGGTACTGGTACAAATTCTCTATAGCTTATATATACACCATAAAGCTAGGTCAGTGAACTTTTTTTTTTTTTTTTCCAAAAAACTCTTAAGTAAATACTAGCCTTGGTCTTTTTCATTGACCTCAGACTCATATGACCACTTTCCTATTGCTGTTACACTGACCAGTGCTAAACAAGCTTGCCAAGGAAAATATAGTTAAATGAGTTTATTAAGAGGATACATTTTTCATCAGAGCACAATCTTTAAAGCAATATGCTGTACTGTCATTATCTCATTACAGTAATTTCAACACTTGCTCCTGTTAACTTATTAAAAAATATTTTAAATCATTTTCTTCATTGCAGGCACAACAAACTATCTCATTACCAAAATATGGATCACTGCCAAATGATATGGTAAAGGATCCAATAAAAAAATGCACAGACAGGAAAAAGTCAGAGTTTGGAGAACGGTATACATAGAACAATATATATATATATATATATATATATATATATATATATATATATATATATCTAGGAACCACTCCTTGTCAGAAAGGAATTAATTTTTCAAATTGTTGGTGCTAGTATGCCATAATAGGGTTAAGACATCATTCTTCTCACTGGATTCTATATCATCTAGAGGGAAGAGATAGCTTTTCAACTGGCTTAAAATTGTTCTATAATATCTAGATAGAGTATAAATGAATCTCCACCTAATTATATTTGCCTCATATCATAAAACAGCCTCATATAAGTATCTGAATGTAAGTCTTAAAAGTAAAACACTAGCAACAAGGAAATAATTTCCAAAGTATTATTTAATGTTGGAGTCAGCAAATAACAACCTACAAATCCAGTTGCCATATTTGTTTGTGTTTTGGTACATAAAGTTTTATTGGACTGCAATCATGCTTGTGTACTTACAAACTGTCTAGTGTTGCTTTGCGTTTTTGTGTAACATCGCCCCCCCCCCCACCTCAGTACTGGGATTAAAACCAGGGCCTCTACACAGAACTACATTTTAATTTTTTATATTCAGACAGGGTTTCACCAATCTTGCTAAATTACCCAGGCTAGGCTCAAACTGTAATCCTCCTGCCTCAGCCTCCCAAAGAGCTAGGATTACACATGTGTGCCACTACAACCAGTTTACGATCACTTTTATATTATAGTGTCATAGTTTTCAAACAAGATATAATTCACATGGCCAAAAGTACTTGTCATCAGGCTCTCTATAGTTTTCTGACCTCTGGTCACAGTCTTGTTACTGAGTTCATGTATCAGTATTATCTGAGTACCACTTAAAATGGGGAACTCTCTCAAAATGACTGGGTAAGAATGCACATATTAACAAGATCCTGCCTATTATGAGCATGAATATTAAAATATTAGAAGTACCTGACTGAAAAAGTCTTAAGGAGAAATCAAATTCCTAAAAGAAGGGTGTGTTTATTTTTATTTTTTTTTTCTGTATTTAGGACAGGGTCTACAGGGTCTATAGGGTCTCACTACATAGACTGGACTTGTAGTGATTCTCCTGTTTTTAGCTTCCCAAGTGCTGGGATTACAGGCGTGCACCACCATGCCCAGTCTCAATTGCAGTCTCACTGTGCCCCATGGGCGAGGCCGACACAGCATGCCGGGGATAGAACCCTGGCCACCTATTAGGCTGGCCCTAAAAGAGGGGTGTGCTTATTACTAGATTCATAATATTTCATTACTAGACAATAGAGAAGGCTCCTTGCAAAGATTTTTGTAAAAATAAAGAGGAAAAAGGACATAGGTCTTAAGTCAAGTAAAGTATTAGTATTGTAGTATGAGAAGAGGTTTTTAGCATCAACTTATGCCTGTAGAGAATATGGGACATATACAAACTACATTAGTCCAGATGACAGTTTTTGATTGAAAAGAAGTATTACTATTGAAAGTGGTCTAGGCCCAAATATCACTCTTCCTAGTACAAAAACACCAGGCAAATAAGAAAAAAATTTGCTGATTTCAACCATGTCCATTTCATTGTCATATTGACTACCTTTTTAAATACTCCATTTTCTCTGTGTCACAAGAAAATTATTTTTCCAATAAGGCAAGTGGGTCATGATTAACTCCTTAAAAATAAACACATCATAAAACCAACTCTAACTCCCTATTTTATCATGTGTTATTTGTGCTCTATTTATTAAAGGCTATCTGCTATCATTTGGGTTTAATTTATCCAACATGGTAAGGGTCTGATAGAGATGAATACTCTTTCTTTTAACATTTACAAATCCTGCTATGTCACTGTATTTATACTGACTATCTTTGAAGTTTTCTAAGTTTTGAGTTGTACCACATCCAAATTTGATATCTCCAAAGATAAGAAAAACACACAAAAGTGAACAAATAATTTTATGATTTTCCTTTCTAAAATAAAAAAATTCAGACTTATAAAAATAACATGTTAAAATCATAATCCTCACTCAACCAATAGCTTTGTGAGCTAGCACAAAAAGTGTCATGTAATAGTAAGATGACAGGGCTGGTGAGATAGTTCAATAGAATAAGCACTTGCCTTGCAGGGTACTGAGTTCAAACCCTGGTATCACAAAAAAGTAATATGATAGGCAAGGTCAGTAGTCTTTTGATAATGACTTTCAATAGCTCTGGCAGTGCTGCAGTCTGCTGCCAAACACACCCTGCTTTGGGTATGCTCAACTTAGGAGGGAGAAAATACATTTTTTTCTTTAAGAAACTCTTTATCTAAGCACTTCAGATGGGACCTTTGATTCCAGAGATGGCTAACAGACTTTCGTCACAGAACATTTATACTTTGGTTACCCTTAATTCTTCAATTGAAGTTGACAAAGAAGGGATGGGGCTGATAACTTTATTTTTCTTTGGTACCTCACAAAACATTGGAGGCAGGAGGAAATTCTGAAAAGAGGTAAGAAATTGAGGCCCAGTAAAGTTAAGCACAAGGTTGAAAACCATGTCCTAAGTTGGCAGTAGATCACCAGTGTGCATATCTGTAGAGGACAGCATTTTTTCTTTTTAAATCTCTGCAGTTCCTAATTCTAACTCCTGTACCTGGCACATAGTAGGTATTCAGAAGTTGTTTGTTCAGTAGACTGCAACTCTCTGAATTCCTGTCCCTAGTTTTGTCCACTGTACCATGCCTGTTCATGTTTAACAATGGATTCATCTCTTTTTTATCTTCCAAAAGAATTAGAAGTCACATTTCAAATTAAGCCTTTACACAGATATAATTAAATCTTTAAAAGGTGGGATGGCAAAGAAATTAGAGGCTAGAGCATAACAGACATTTTACAACCTGCAGATGCCAACAGCAGGCAGCTCCCACCCTTCTCCGCCCTCTCTTCCCCCACAGTATAACGACAATTATATTCCACAGTGAATAATATAATTATCTAAATGAAACCAGGAAGGAAAAAAAGCATACAACATAAAAGGATTAGCTGCTCAAGGACTTGGGGGGTGGGGAAAGAGGCAGGAGGATGGATCCAGGCTGACAATTTCATAAAGTAGCCATCAATTATTTAAATCATTGTGACTTTTCAGACAGCATTCTGGACAGCAAGTGAAAAAAAAAAACACACTAAAAATTTGAAAACCATAAATTAGGAGAGAGATGCTTGTTATTTGGTTTTAGAGTGAAACATGCTTTGCCTAGAGAAAAGAGCAAAAGGAAAGGCAAAGTCACTATAAATAGTAGGTGGTTTAAAAGGTTACTTGTTAAAGTTCAGCAGAAAAAAATATTTCTCTTATAGAACAAGTGTTGGTGCTGCTAAAATCCAATACAAATAAACCACTCAGCACGTGAAAAGTAACAGGTTTTAAACAATATGATAAATAGAATAAAAAGAAAATTGTGCCAGAAAGAGGAACTTGGATTCTGCTATGGAAACTGACATTTACCAGATATGTCACCTCAGATGAGGCACGTAATATGTTGAGCTTCTCTCCAGTAATGGACATGAATTCATCTCCAAGGTACACTGTAGCCTGGAAATTTCTGCTGAAGCCTTTATATGATAGAGAATGTCAATACTAACCAGGAAAACTATAACTCAGGCTAACTATATACAACCAGGCTTTTATTAAAAAGAGTTATAACTCAAAAATAACATTTGTCCCATGTATGTGTACGAGTTTGATCACAACAGCCTTGCCTGCTATGCTATGTTTCCACCATATAAATAAATCAATCCTTATATATCCAAGACTTGAAAGAAGTAAACAGAACTTAAATAAGCCTAACGTTTTTGCTATTACTTCAAGTATCTGTACTTACTAAGATAGCTTTAGGGCAATTGATTATTTCTACTCAGGCACATGGTCTACAATTGGGGTATTACTCCTAAGGTGAATCTGGTCAATAGTTTCATGAGCTAATTAGCTTGGCCTTCCCAATTTAACTATTCGAGAAAGAGTAAAAATAGCTTTCAAATGAAGCACTTATGGTTACTGCTATAAAACTACTACATTCTCCATAAAGGAAGACAAT